TTGATGAAATAAAGGTTGTTTGTTCATTCTAAGGCTGTCTGTTTTAGGGAAGTGAACAAAAAAATGCCAATGGATGTAGGAAGCAGGTAGGAAAAAAAATGTATAGAATGAAATCATGAACCAAGTTCCTAGTTAGTCATCAGAAGAAAGCCTTCTGAAGCATCTTTCTTTTTCTAATTATAAATATGGATGTGTATGAAGATTTACATTCAGCCTTCCGTTCCCCTGGATGCCCAGGGAAGAAGAGGATTGCATGGCTGCTGCTTAGGTGGCTGGGAGCTGTAGGCCTACCTTCTTTTGGGCTGTGAGATGGGCTCTCACGTGGCCTGCTAGCAACGTGCTCACCACTTTTTTTCCTCCCCTTGTCCTCAATCAACCTATATTTGAATGCCAATGCTGATAGGTCCTGGTTTTTTTGGGTTGTTTTTTGTTGGGTTTTTTTTGTTTTTTTTTTTTGTTTTTTTGTTTTTTTGGTTTTTTTTGCAGCAATGTGCACTGAGGATGTGGTCCTTGACAGTTCTATAAAAATAAAGGGTGAAAAGCTTGAATATATACATCTGCTATTTAAGCACAGTTGCCAAGGCCATTGTTGAGATGTTTATGTGTTAGCTTGCCTTAATAGTGTGATTGCTTTTCCTCTTAGCTATGTTAAGGTTGCACTTAGTTTGATTCATGCTGTGGCAGCATTGAGCAATGCTGCGTTCTAGTAAAAAGGTTGCAAGAATAATGCTTCTCTTTTTTTTAATCTTGACAAAAATCTTGAACACTTCAATTCTAAAAAAAATTGGGGGATGGGAAGATAAATTTGCTCATTGAAAAGCAGCACCATTAAAAAGGTGAATCAGTGGGTTGCTTATGATGCTTAAAGGGATGCTTAGCCTGACCTATAGGCTTGAAGAAGTGGATGTTAGAGAATAAGGAGGTTTGGTTTTTGGTTGTTTTTTTTTTTTTTTTTTTTTAATAGTCAAAAGATAGTCCTGCAAAAATTATCAGTGAATTTAGTTAATGATCTTGTCTTCCTTCAGGAGCTGAAATTCAGCATCAGTAATTCAGAAGGATTTCCTCTTCACTCTAAACCCTGTGTGCGTCAGTGGCTTCCTAGCATGGTAAGCCCAGAGGAGCCAGCCCTGCAGGACAGCTGTCACTCACTGCTTCAGGCTTGTCCAGCCCAGAGACTTGTGGCTGCAGCTTTGTAAACTGGAGGCAAGTGCTGCCAGTCAATACCAATGAATCTTTTTGCTGTTCTTTCTGTGCTGCAGAATAGCTGCCAGTATTTGCCTTCAGGTTATATGTTTGTTTATTTGCACCAGCACGTGTTTCCAAAATACGTGGCTGCTTGGGGTGCTGTTGCTCACAGCTGTGTGTGGGCTTGCTGCGCTTCTGAGTGCACTTAGCTGGCGTCTGCAGGTACGTTTTTATGGCCCTCAAATCTTGGCACGAGCCATGTTTTGTCGACAACAAAGAAGATTGCTAGTGAAATTAAAATCTGGCATCGCCGTTCTACAGGTTTGTTCTTGATGTACTGAAATGGGATTTTCTTACTAACTTTTCTTGGTGCTGATCCAGAGCCCAGCGTCTTATAAATCTGTATAATCAGTCTCTGCTCAGTTGTTGGGGCTGTAGCAGCTTCTCACTTGGTTCACAGGAACAGCATGGAAAAAGGAAGGCAGGAAACTTTCAAGTGGGGAATTTCATGGAATCATAGAAGGGCCTGTGTTGAAAAAGGCCATAATGATCACCTAGTTTCAACCACCCTGCTATGTGCAGGGTTGCCAACCAGCAGACCAGGCTCATCCAGCCTGGCCTTGAATGCCTCCAGGGATGGGGCATCCAAGACCTCCTTGGGCAACCTGTTCCAGTGCCTCACCACCTTTTGTGTGGGAAAAACCTCCTCCAAGTCTGTATCAGCAGGGCAATGGCAGAAGTTTTGCCAGGAGGTTAGAGAGCAGATGTATTTAGGACCTTTTCACTACCTTCCTTCAGAAGGCATCCCTCCTGGCCATGCAGGTTTGAGTTGGTGGTTATCCATCTTTTGCTGTAGTGAAGATAGGACTTGGAAATGCAATGTGATGGGGGTACAGCAGTTACAGAGTGCCTCAGCACAGGAGTGTCACAACAGATCATAAAAAATAGGTGCTGTCTGGCATGTAGATGTGCCAGTGTCACTATTTAGCTCATTTGTAGATGCACTGCATTCTCAGCATAGTGCTAGGGAGAGCAACCTGTGTTTTTGGGACAGGTTCTGGGACTGGTGAACTTCCTGTGCAGTCACGGAGGCACATTCCTAGCTCAGAGCTTTGCTCTTGGGGACTCTAATTTGGACTCAGTAAACTATCAGTATTCTAGACATACCAATTCTACTTTCAGCAAGCCTCAGTCTTCAAGTCACTGTGATCCCAAATGCTACAGAGATACCATTTCATTTGTTCTCTGCATAACACAGTGCGCTAAGCATGAAGTAGTCAGGTACATGGGTGCGTGCAATTCCAAGGAGAAGTGATACTCACCTGCAGGAAATGTTGGTGGGGGGGAAACAGATGCGTGTTGGTGATAGGGGATGGGAAGGGGATGTTAAGTCATTAATTACTAAGCCTCGCATAAACAGAACTTAATAGTTTGAAAAGTCTGTAATTTAAAGGGAAGGAAAAATCTTTCATCTTCTGCTGCGCTGTTTAGCTAAGTGTCAAATTGGATCAACTGGAAGAGTTTTGTGATGATGTCTGCTTTATATATTGATTACTTCTCCATGGATGGTGCCAATGTGGTGAGCGTTGGACTGCTGTTGAAGGGGAAAGGCGCTAAAGGGATCCCGGCTGAAAAGTCAGGGGTGGCTGACCAGCCCAATCACTTCTGGTTAGTTGGGGGAGGATGCAGAGTGCAATGTGATTCGCTTCTCCATGCACTGAAGAACCCATTTGTTTAGCTGGTAGCTGCGAATGCAACCTGGAATCTTCTGCGAAGACTTTCTGTACCTCTGTGGTTGTGATTTCAAGAAGAGGACTTGGTCAAAGTCCCAAGTATGGAGAATGAGCCTTCAGGGATGGCGGTAGGGGTTTGGTGCTTTCTTCTTCTTTCATTTCACTCTGCTCTACCCCCACTTCCCCCTCCTGGAAAATATTTTAGAAAATGAGAAGCTGGTAAGTTTGTGCTTGGTCCAAAACTAATTTTAAATGGAGTAGTTCAATCATGGAAGGTTTCAATTCATCTTTTTCTTGGTGTAAGCTGTACTAAAGATGAACCCAAACGTTGCACTTTAGCGCGTGCCTTTATTCAAACACAAGACAGCTTTCCGAGCGAGGCAGTGTTAAAAGTTTTTGTCATCAGAGACACATTCTCCCTCCAGCTGCTTGGCAATGCTGCTTTTGTTTTCTCTGTTGTTATTATTTTTTAATTGGCTGCTGGTATTTATTAAGCAGCAGATAGCGTGAGGGATTTCTGAACTCCATGCAGCAGAGCTGTGTAGGATTTTTGGAAAGCTGAATGGTGGAGAGAGGACTTCCCACACAGGAGTCTGCTGCCAAAGAATTATCTTCGTATGCTCAGTGAGAATGTAATGCTGCTTGTGTCAGTTTTCTGTGAAATGTTGTTATAAATTTAGGCAAGATTGTTTACCCAATGTAATGCTAAAGCTGGAATACAGTTATATTTCAGTCTAGCAAATCTGCATTTTTGGCATAAATTACTTAGATATCTAGGAACAGCGAAATATATGCTGTTAAACATGTCAAATCAGATGATTAAGTGACTTGATTGTTAGGAAGAAAATAGTAATTTTCTGAAAAGGCTTAATGAATGATGTGGCACAATGATCTGCAAGCATACCGAAGCAAAAAAAAAAAAAAAAAAAAAAAAAAAAACACAACACCTTTCTTGAAGAAAATTTGCCAGTCGAGGAGCATGTTTTTATGCAGTAGGTAATAAAAGCAGGAGCATGAGTGAAAATATTCCAGCAAATTGACAAGCTCCTTTCCTCCTGTGCAATTATTTTCCCTGCTGGCGGCCAAGTGGGTGGCTCTGTGTGGTTGGTGACTGTGCGGTGTGCCAGCAGTCACTGGGCAAGGTGACTGCTTTGTGATGGCTGACCGTGCAAATGCTTCCCAAGATAAGCTGCTGCTCTGAAACAACTCGGGCTTTCACATAAGGATCTTGGATGAAGGAGAAAGCGACTCTGTTACATGGATTACATTTTTGCATCTCACTTGGAAACGAGATGCTGAAGCCAAGTGAGGTTTTACCTGGGTGATGTTGGGTGAGGATAGATGAAGGCTTTGTTTGGGCCTTATCCTGTCTGTGTTTGATGTGCAGAAGGAAGAAAGGACTTTGACTTGGAGCCCAAGCTAAAATATTTGAGTTAACAGTTTAAAAGAATTGGCTAGTTTGTAGACTAAGCAAACTTGTGTGTCAGTGGTTTTATATCAATAACGTGCAAGCCTCATGCCTTATTTAGTGCTCCTTTGAGAAAGACCATTTTGTCCCCTGTGTAGCACCCAGGGAGATCCCTGCTCAGTGAAGGCAATCTTTTTCTTTGATCAAGGAACGTGTTCATCTGAGCAATGGTGACAAGAAATCAAAAATGAAATCAAAAGTTGAAAGCAAAGACCTTTCTGACATTATTTGAGCTTAAACTGTGGCTTTGATGTTCTCGAGCTCCTTTTTGAGTGCTTAATGAAGCCTGTGTTTTTGTGTGAGTTCCGTATGGAACTGCTGCCCAAGCCCTGGCCACACTGATAAAAAGGATTTAAAGTGGAAATTCACTCATAAGGGGTTTTGCATGGTGTCTGTAAGTTGGTACCCTCTGGTCTCTGTGTGTTCCCTCTCTGGAGATGGGAGATCTGTGCTCGCAATCTGCGTAACTGTCTTGTCTGAATGTGTATGTTTGGTGGCCCTGCTAGGCAGGGGGGTTGGAACTACATGATCCTTGAGGTCCCTTCCAACCTGGGTGATTCTGTGATTCTGTGTAACAGGGTTGTGAAACAATCTTACTTTTTGGGTTCCCACAGGGTAAGGATGTGAAGGTGACACAGGATCAGAGCAGCTCTGTGAACACCAATGGCTGCATGCCAAGGCCAATGTCCCGCCTTAGCTTTCCTTCTGTCCATGCTGCTGCAAGGCTGAAGTCCTGCATTAGAATAATGTTGCTGTAACTGGTGGTGGACTGTCTGATCTGAGTCACTGATGTTGGTCGTACCCAATCCTCTGATCCAGCACACGTGCTTTAAAGCCCTGTTGCAAAAAACATGCTTTATGTCAGTGCTCAGCTCAGTAGCTGCTACAAAGCATGCTGGAAATCTGAAGCAAGCAGATCCCAGGAAGACTTCAGCTACTACACCAGCTGTCTGTGTTGTCCTCTCCTGCCCTTGTGTGCTCCCAAAAGTTGGTGCACATGTGTTAGTGGAAACCTTGTGCAAGTCTTGCAGGGCTGGCCAGAAACCTACCACACATTCTCAGTTTTCTCTGCTGATTGTGGCTTGTGCCATTAGAATGAACCACAGCGTCGTCTGTCAGATCTACTTACACTTATTTCTAAAGTTCCATAAAGCCTGTTTTACCAGACTGGGTAATTCAAAGCATTTGTTCGAAGCGTTGCTGCTGCTTATGTTACCACAGGCTCTACAAGAAAACCAAGATCCTCTGCTGAAAGAGGTTGGTGACCAAGTAACAGCAGAAACGGTCTTGGTGCTTAATGCTGTCTTTGCTTCAGTCTTCAGCACCACAGGCTCCTGTGTTTCTGTGCTCTGTGAGAGGGAGGAGAAAAGCTATCAGTGGTTGGTAAGGGCCAAGTTGGGAATTATTTATAAGACCTCGACACAAGGGACTGAGTCCATTGGACAAGATGAGCTGCATCACGTTTTCAGCAATGTCTGGGATCAAAAATCAGATAAGTGTTTCCCGGTTTGCTTGGAGAGGAGCAAGCTAAGTTTTTTCCTGGTGAGTTCTCCATCTCATTGTCGTGCTGGAGCACTCAGCCTTGTGCCTCCCCGAGGATCCTTACCCTGTATGGAAACTGCAGCAGAGCTTTTGTTTATGTATGTGTTACCATTGAGGGCTTGTGCATTGAGCAGCACAACTCCAATGAAGGAGAAGAGTCAGCTTCAGTGGTTTTGATGCAGAATTCGTAATGCAGTGTCTCAGCTTCAAGCAGCCTCTGTACAGCTACGCCCTCTTCGATACACATACAGAAGGAAGGAAGTTTTGCATCTGCAGCTGTCAGGAATGTACTTTGGCTGATGAATGCTGTCAGAACTTAAAGACGGGATCCCATAGTGGGTCAGTTAAGCTTTATTGGTCTGCCAGAGCAGATTATCATTTTATTTAACCAGAGAAGTGGTTTTCATTGTCACTTGATTGCCAAGGGTCTGTCAGCATTTCCATTATAAACCTCCTATTTTCAGGGATTTTAGTAGACTTGAGATTTAAGTGTTCTGGTCTAAAACTTGGCAAGCATGCTCTGAGTTCACCAGCAGATATTTTCTTTGTGAGATTTTAAAACAGTCAGCTGTTTCTTAAATTGTAGAGAAGGCGAGGGGATTTTTTTTCCTCTCGATTAAGCAGATAGGACTATTTTTTTTCCACCCTTCTTATTCCAACTAGATATATGAAAATAAAGCCCTTTTCTTTTTATTTTTTCTTTTCTTTTTTTTTTTTTTTTTTTTTTGAGAGGAAGGAAAAAAGAAAAAGACAGAGATGCCCTCTATCATGTTCTGTTGGCTGGAGAATAATGCCTGAAGGCTTTCCCAACCTCTGCTTCAGTGCATGATGGATGAAGTCCCACCCACCCTCTGCTCTTTCTCCTCCCCTTTACTTATTTGCCTTTGGTGTATTTACACTCTCGCTATATTAAGTTACAGCATTCCTTCTCCTTATTCCATTCCTCGCCTTTGCTCTGTGAAGCTTCCAGCGCCCAATTGTGATGACTCTGAGTATTTTACTGCTCTTTAGAAGGAAACTCTGGGGTGATGCAAGGTTCTTGTGGTAAATATAAACTCTAAGGATTGCCTTTATGTTGTCTTGCTCTATTTGATGTACAGTCCTCTTTAACTGAAGAACATAATGTGCATGCTCCTCAGCAGAACATTGCAGTTTTAACACTTTTTGGAGACTGCTGTGGCTCTAGAGCTGTGACTCTACTTTCACATTCTTTTTTTTTTTTTTCCCTTTGTTTAACCAAATCTTTAATGTCTACCAAAAAAAAGTGAAGTGTGATTGGTGCAGATCACCACTGTGGGTTTTCATGGCTGGGTTCTTTTAGTCATTTCCTGCGAGCTCGGTGCAGAGCTGCGACAATGCAGGAAGCAGCAGCAGGCATAGTGAGGCTGAGCGTGGCGTTGGAGAGCAGCTTGCTGTAGGTGCGGGCTTGTCCTCCTTGCTGAGATGTAGGAATTGCTGGGATTGATGCTCAGGCTCTTCAGGAGGAACCTCTGCTGTCCTTTGGTCGCGGCAGCGAAGATGATTTGGGCATCAAAACGCTGAGCCAGGAACTACAGCTATGTGACTTCTGAGTGATGAGAGATGTAAGTTGAAATCTGGAATTCAAGAGCTGGAAGATGAGTGCTTTTAAAAAGTATTACAGTCTCTCTCCCAGGGCCTTTAGGAGGTCATTATCGGAACAAGATGCTGGCACCACTGCCTTGAAGGACTATCATTGGCACCACCGAATGAGAAGCAAGAAAATGAGCAAACAAATGGTTTTGGACCCAGAGAAAGCGCTCGGAGCCTACAGGTGGCAAACTCATCCTCGTCTTCCCTGGAGGATAAGCAAAAGAGCGCGCTCTTGCAGCCTTAGAGGGGAAGGTAACGATTCGAGTCTTGTCAAAAGTTCTGTGAGCATGGATGCTACCAGCACTGAAAATCTCCAGCAAGATTCAACAGAGATGCTTTTCCAGGCAAGGACCAGATCACCGCGGGTTCCCTTCAACCGCTCTCTGTCTGAACCCGTGCCGCAGTCTGCAAGCAGGAATGCCAAGCCCTTTCTGCAGGCGGTGCGCTCTGTGGATTGTGAGCAGCATGGCTATTTTGTCCGTGGCATCTTCTCAACTCTCTCAAGTGGCTTTTCAAAGATAATAAATCGAAGAGGGGAGCAGTCCCCCAGTGAGCTACTGGAGTGGAAAACAGACGATAGTCAAATAGACACATGCACAGGTAATGGACTCTGTTCTGTTATGCTCTATTTGTGTTGCAGGTGTGTATAATTATTTTATGGGTTGTATCATAGTTGTTTGAACTGGTTTTGAACTTGGCTGTTTGTTAACATAAGATTTGCGACCTTCTAAAAAAAAGACTGGGGGGGGGGGAAGGCCTTTCCTGATAAAGAAGTGGTGTGATGGTTTGGCATGCACTTTAAAAACCTGAAGGACCCTTTAAAACAGATGTGTCTGGAGGAAGCAGAAGCATTTCTCTCCAAAATGAACTGTGTGTGGTGCATACAGTCCTGTGAGCACAGCAGCCTCAGAGGAGTTGTTGTGCGCTGATGGATGTATCAAGCCTGCTACTGTAGATGAAGTACTAGGAGGAGAGGGAGAGAAATAAAGCAGTCTTTTATCCAGTATGCAAGGCAGTGGAATGGATCTAGTTCCTCATACCAGATTCACAGTTTTGCAGTCAATCAGTTAAATTGATGTCTGCTCTCTGTTAGATGCCAAGGACAGCAGTGTTACAAAGGTTTAGCCAGCTGGGATTGAGGTCAGCAAGATGCCAGTCTGAGATTCCATTTAAATCTGTCCTGCTGTTAACAACACTCATTAAGCAGGAAAAAAAAAAAAAGGGAGAAATTTGCCTTCTGATCTTTTAGCCTTTTGTGGAACTTTCCAATGGGATACCCAGCCTGATCTGAGTGAGTGAGGAGGCATTCGGGGGAGGGGAGCAAAGTTTAAATTTATGATAAAAACAAACAGAAACCTTCCTTTTCTCCAAAACCTCTGTGCTTTCCAGAGTCCTCCAGATTATCATATTAAAACCTGGTAACATCTGGACCTACTTGAAACTGCTGGAAAAGCCATTCCTATTCAAAAAAAAAAAAAAAAAAAGTAAAAAATCAGCTTGCTGTTATTATTTGTCCCCACAGGTAGTGGGTCTGAGTAATGGTGGATTGTCACTTACAGCCTTACGTTTGCCACTGGGAGCAGTCTCATTGGTTTAAAATGCAAAACAAGCAGCCACAGAGAAGCTTCCCAGGGTTTGTTCAAAGTTGCTAGCTACAGTTCATTGCTTTGTATTCCTCCAAGACCTCAGGTAGAATTTGGCTTGGCAGTACTTGTTAAATTGAGCGAAATATGCGGGGAAAAAATGAAGAGACAGCTACTTTGCTTCTGAACACATCTTGTTAAGTGTTTGGTTTGTCTCCTGCTGTTGTTGAGACCTCCTCAGAAGCTGTTATTACTGCAGGCTGGTCTGTTGCTTTGGACATTTGGTTTGGTCTCTGTCACCCTGTATATGTCAGCAAGCTATTTTGGGAAGGTGTTCTATATGACACAAGCATTTTGGATTAAACATTTGCAATCTTTAAAGGGCAGAGCATGCTGTAGTTCCCTTTTCACACTGTTCTGGCACTCTTTTGGAACGAAAGGTTCTCTAATAATTCCTAAATGCTGTTGGCCAGATAGATCTTGGGGTGCTCATGGAGAGTAGAGGGCAGAAGAAAGTTATCTGTGAGAAGTCACCGCACTGTAAATATGTTGCTCGTGAGATGAGGACGGAGCCTTTTGGCTTCTGGACCCTGAATCCTCTGAGCTAACCCAAATTGGTTTTACAGAGGGACTCTCAGCTCAGGAACTGAGAAACAACAATGGGACTCGAGATTAAAAGTCAGAGTGTCTCAGGGGAGGAAGTCATAACCAGGAAGGTGCTTGGGGAAACAAGGTTGTGCCGTTGTCACCTGCAGAGCTGCTTGAAACAGGCCCTGCTCTGGGAGGGTTAGCTTCTGCTCTTCAAGCAAACAGCAGCTGAGGTTTAAGAGAACTCGTTCACCCCATTAGACATGCTGCTGTGTGGGTTATGTAGTCATGGGACAGCTAATATCCTGTCATGGGATGTATTCTTCCTAAAGGAAGCCCGAGTTAGTTGGGCCTGTGGGCTCAACCTATTGCTGTGTTCTTCACCTGCAGCCTGGGCGCTCAGAAGTGCTGAGCTCTTCTACCAAATACCTCACAGGCCGAGTTCTGTGGGGCTGATTGTCCACAAGAGGTGGTGGTGCTTGGATGGCTGAAGGCATCTTCTCATGCCTGCAGTCCTGTGTACTGCAAAAGGAAAAACGTGAGAAAACTGATGGCTTTCCTGTGCAAGAGGCAGAATTTCAGAGTCCTTGGGCTGACAAAACCTGCGGTCTGCCCAGACTTGTGACTTGCCGACAGATAGTGTGAGACACAGGGCTTCTCCAAAGTATTCAAACAGCTTAGCTTGGAAGAGCTTGGTCAAAGGTCTCCCAGGAAGCACCTGTTTGGACAGAATTTTCCCCCCTTCACATGCTGTTGAATGCCCAGTCCGAGAGGCACGCTTCGGAGTTGAACCAGAAGAACCTGGAGGTGTGCTTTCTTTTGTCAGTCCAAGGAGCCAAACCTTTTAGTTACTTCATTACAAGCATTTCAACTTTGCTCTGAAATAGTTACAGATTATCAGCTCTTCTAAAAAAAATAAAACAACTTCCTTCTGAAGCCTACCTGTCCTCCTGCATTCTGTTTTAGTTCTGTGCCAGAACTGCAAGGGCTGGGACCTCTGCGTGGCTTTGGGTAGCAGCTGCTTTGCTTCTGACCTCTATAAACCTGGGGAAGAGCAGCTCCCTTCTGCAAGGAACGATTACCTCCCAAAAGGGGACCGGTTGCTTTTTTGGCAGCTTGAACAGGGAAGTGGGATTAAAAAAAAAAAAAAAATTGGATACATATTTTCCACTTGGTCTCACAGTCTAGGAAGCGTGTTCAGACACTGCTTCATCTCTTCTTGGCTGCACATTCCCCTCCTGGGGAATGAAAGGATGCTGAACCTGGGGAGAGCTGCTGATCAGAGCTTTGCTGTGGCACAGGGCGCCCTGCTGCCCATCTTGTAGAAACTGTGTAGGGAAGGAGTTATGCAGATAGTTCAGAGCCTGAGGGTTGTCAGTGAGCTACTGCTCTCTTTTATTTCTACGTATATCCAATGACCCTCTAGCAACCCTAAACACTGTTAAGAGTGGATTTGTGAGCAACTTCACAGATAACATTTATTTTGCTGTTCCTTCTTATCTGAATCTCAGGGCAGTGCAAGTTTAATTGGGGATTGATGACAAAATGATTCTTCAGTAGAATCAATTATCTGTATCTCAGCTTGCAGGAGGGAGGGAGTAAACACTGGTTTCTTGTATTTGATGCCCGTTTGGCTTCCGATGGACACTGTACTGTTAAGATTTTTATGACATTTCCTGCAGAATTATTTCCTTCACTTTTTTTTCCACTTGTATGATGATATGTTTCTTCAGTCTTATCACTTTGATATCATGCTTTAATTCATTTTAGAGGAGTTCTTGTGCCTAGAGTCAGAGAGCATAGTCTATATCCTTTTCTAGAATTTTTTTTTTTTTTTTTTAACTCACAAGAGTTACTCAAGCTTGGTGCTCTTCATTAATATCTCTACAGTCTA